GCGTCGCCGGGGCGGGGAGCGCTCCTGCGCTCTCCTTCCTTCTCCGGCGTCCCGCCCAGCCCTCCTCCCGCAGAGGGTACCCCCAATCTGGCTCCCAGCCCAAGATAAACCCCTTCCCAGGCCCTGAGCTCCACCGCCAGCCGCGTTCTGGAGAGTCTGGTGCTCTCGAGCTGGGAGGAGCAGGTGCCGCACCAGGAACTGAGGGAACCTGGTGATGAGTGAGGCTTCTTCCAGCTTCTGTGCGTGTTTGCTGACTTTCGAACTCATCGGAGTTCGTTGGGTGGTTTTTATATTTGTCTTTTGATCGGATGGAATGCATTTAAAGAATTGCTCCTATGAATCTTTAAAGGTAATTTAAGCACAGGTCCCAGAGTTTAAACAATAAACGTCAGGGGAACTGGCCACAGAGCCGGGTGACCGCGCCAAGTTTCTAGGATGAAAAGCTGCCTGAGGAGAGAAGGAGACTATCGACAAATTAGTGACAGGGGCTATGTTAACGTCAAATTACAGAAACACTGATTGGAAAGGGACCAGGCATATGAAAAAGGGACGGAAGTGCTGGCCTGGTGGGACTTTAGAAGAAACTTGTCAGCTCCGTTCCACGGGCTTCTTGAGAGTTACTGTTTCTACTTTATCCCCAGCTCCTGACACAATAGTGTCTTGAAGAATGGGAGGATCACAAAGGCAGGATGCACTTGATTCTCTGTACCCATTTTACAGACAAACTGAAGCCAGCATACTTTTCTTCGGTGTTGTGTTTCAGAATACTAGCTCTGTACGCCATGCCACAGCCATAACATAAATCGTTACACTGGGTTGCTGGTTACACTTTGAGGGTTATGCATGGCTAGAAAAGCATTTAATGAAAGGAAGAATTACCGTTTCCACCTAGAAAAATCAGAGGTCCTGACTTTGAACTGAGAATTGAACGGAAATGTAGTTCTAGTAATAGAAAACAGGGAAAGGACATTGGACCTGAAGTTTTATCAGACTGCACCTGTGGCTGACCTCACAGCTTCCCAACCTATCTTTTTATTCCAGCTTTGCTATGGCAAATGACTGAATTCAGGTGTTATCTGAATGCACCTTGCCTCAGCTGCACCTTCGCTGGTCTGCACCTTCGCAGCTCTGGTCTTCGCTGTCAAAGCAGCCAAGGACCCCTGTGGGAAAGCCCTGCCCATTCTGACGCATGCGCAAAACTGCAAATGCAAAAGAACTAGCACCGCTAGAGACATGCTTTGAGGCAGAAGGGAACTGGTGGAGAAATATTCCCCTCTTCCATTCTTCCGGTGGGCAGTTCTGAGGTGCATTCTGTGTAGCTCCTAAGAGGAGAGAGCCCCGGTTGCCCACGGTGGTGCCCAACTTTACCAGTTCAGTCCTGCACACTTGGACTGCTTTTTTCTGTTCTTCCTTGCTTGCCTGATCTTCCTACCCTTCCACTCCTGTTCTTTGGGATTTGTTCCCAAAATAAACTAACTGTATGGAAATGCTTGCTCAGAGTGTTTTTCTGGGGAACCCGACTAAGCCAGTCATTAATCCAAAAGAGGCTTCTTGCTCAGTGTTTTTCTGGGGAATTCCGCCGACCAAGCCAGTCATTAACCCAAAAGAGGCATTTCTGCCCACCTTTCAGGGTCATTCTCAGCAGACCTTTCCCAAGTCTGCTAATGAGGAATTTTTCAGCCTGAGCTTTTGCTCATTTTATCTCCCAGTTGCCCTGCCCTCTAGGGAATCCCCAATAAACTCTCAGAGAAAGGCAGGACTATTGGTGACTCCGAAAGGATAGGACCAGCTGAAGGCCTGGGTTAAAATGTGAGTCTAACAAAGTCATTCTCAGCACCCCTTAAATCTCTCCCCTGTTTCCAAGATTCTGACTGATGACTTTGAAACTGAAAAACTCTCAGCTCTGCGGTTGAACATGGAGGCAGAGACAATGTGAGACCCAGTTCACTCCCAGTGCAGCATGTGCCAAGATTCTGTCTCCTTTCTGCCCTCCTCTTCCTCTCACCCCCTTGTAAAAGCAGTTCCTCTACCCAGATACGAAGTCTCAGGCCAGGGTTTGTAGCACCTAGCATGTTTCATTTCAACACCAGTGGTGCTGTTGCAAATTACGCAGTTAGTCTGGGAGGGAAGCCGCCCTTCCCCTCTGCCTTCAAGGAAGGAGATGAGACATGTACATAAGTTAATGAATCATTAGAAGTCTTGTAAGTCTTCTAAAAGAGGGACATGTAAGTGTAGTGGGACTTCCAGTAGGGCTTTAGGACAGGCTTTGTAGAAAAGGTAGCATCCTTAAAGACCCAGTTGGAACGAAGCCCCCTGAAGAAATCCCACTGCCCAGAGGGCCACAGGGTTGGCTCCCGTCCATATCCGTTCCTAATTGCCTCCTCACTCACAGGTTTCCTGAATCCCAGTCAAGCTACTCATTCCCTCATCTTCCGAGGCCCCAGCCCTCCTCTTCCAGACCTAGCCCTGCCCCATCTCTGAATGCCCTTGGTCTTCTCTGCCCCCAGTGTTAAGTGTTGAATGTCAAATGGTACAGGTTAAATCCTGCCCTTGGCCAGCCATCTTGAAGCCCTCCAGGAGCCCACCTGTGCAGCCCTCAGCACTGAGCATTGCTGGGGAAGAGAGAAGAATAACACCATTTACTAATCCAAACCCTACAGGGCTTCTCTTTGTTTTGATACAATTAATTTTTCTTTAAAAAGAGGCGGGGAGTGGGGGGAGACTAGATATCAGGCCGTTAATTCTGCAGAATTTTAGAAGTATCAAGCAGCCTTTCTTTTTTTTTTTTTCCTATAATTGACAGTGAAATGAAGAAAAAGCTCAGTGGATTTTTCTAAAATTGGTGGTGCTCGGAATTTAATGTGCTGAAAAGAGCCCTAGATCCCAACGTGACCATAATACTGAATTCTGCTCATGAATGAGAACTGGAGGCCCAGTCTTTTCCCTGCAGTGAGTGAGCAAGTAAAACAAGAACTTGGACCTTTCTGGAGAAAGAGGGGCTGTGTCAGGCACCTGCATCCTCACCCCCTTTCTGTCTTTTGACTCCAATATATTTAACTAAAATTTGGTTTTGGTTTTGTTTTGTTTTTTAACCACAATTTGGTATGAGGAGTAGTTTCGAAAAAATTTTTTTTTTCTTTTTGAGTGGGCTCTGTGCCCAACATGGGGCTTGAACTCAGAACCCTGAGATCAAAAGTCACATGCTCTACCAAGTGAGCCAGCCAGGTGCCCCAGTAGTTTGGAAATGTAAGCAAAGTATCTTTGCAGTAATGGGGATCTTTGAAGAGGGAGAGTATGAGAATGAGGAGGATAGAGAGACTCCTGGCTCCAGCCCCTTTCCATCCCTGGCTCCCCTTTGCTCCTGCTAAAGCCTAGAAAAGACCAACGAGCCGTCTGGTTTGACTAAAATAAGATAACAAGTCAATGCTCCTACTGAGACAGAAGAAAAAGACCAGACACCCGATCCTGTTTGAATAAGAAAAGAAAAAGAAACAGTCCCCCGGGGTGATTCAGCTCTCTCCTGAGACACCTCCGCAGAGATTATACTTCAGGTGAAAGGGCCATTTGGCCTTGAGAGACTGGGAAAGCTTTCAGGCCTTGAGAAACCTCGAAAACACCCCGTTACCATCCCCCATTGCCTGTAACCATAAAAACTCACTCCTAACCCTGTCGGGTGCTCAGTCTTTGGGAAGGAATCCCGCTGAGCCCGCTGGCGTTAATAAAGCTAAGCTTTCCCTGCTCTCCCGTGTGGTGTTTGAGTTTCCTTGGTCACCTCAGATTTTCTGCAACAAGAAGGTAAAAAACAGTGTTCTCACCTCTGACCATTCACCCCAAGCTAGAGCAACCCATAAATCTCCTTCCTTCCTTCTTTCAGTTTACACCTGCGCCTTATTATGTATCACAGGCATTGTGCTTTGTTCTCAGAATGCAGTGATAACCAAATGTTGGGTCCCTGTTTTCAACAACATCACTTAGCAGTTAATTGCTATGTACCAGACACTATGTCAAGAGTTTTGTCTGCATTATTTCATTTAATCTCTAACGATCTTAAAAGTGACCTAAGATTATCCCCATTTTGCATCTAAGGAAGTTGAAGCAACACAACTATCAAGTGACAGAGACAGATGCCACATAAGTCCATCATATTCCAAACACTCTCTTTCTTTTTTTAGAGAGAGAAAATGTCCAAAAAGCTGGGGGCAGGGAAGCAGGACAGAGAGAGAGAGAATCTCATGCAGGCTCCATGCTTTGCTCGGAGACTGATGTGGGGCTCAATCTCGAGACCCTGAGATCATGACCTGAACCGAAATCAAGTTGAATGCTCAACAGACTGAGCCACCCAGGTGCCCTTCACAGACTTTCTTTAAGCCTACCACCAACTGTCCTAAGGATGTTGCTTTAAAAAAGGATGAAAATTCCAGTTTACAAGGGTCTTTGGAATAGAGAATTTTTTATAACCTGTTGGGTATTCTTTCTGTGAATGATCTAACAGAAGCTCAAATGCCTTATTACATGGAAATTTCTTTCAACAAATACAATACAGATGCCAAGATCTCATGCCCTCAGTTAGGAAAAGTAATTATAGGTTCTAATTGATCATATACACTTTGAAAGAGAAAAATATGGGACAAGATTCTCAAATCTTAAATCTGATTTAATTTTCTGACCTTCAAATTCTGCTTTTTCAAAGAATATTTGTTACAATAAACTCTTGAAAATCAGGATAACAAAACACATGCTTATTTTGATTCATATCTTCGCAATTTTTTTTTCAAACGAATATGTATTGTTTAAACCATTTACTGTTTCTTGCACCAAGGACAGAGCCTACCAATTCGAAGGGAAATCAAATTGCCAGGCTGCTGCCTCTCTATTTTGGGTTGCAAGAACTTTCCCGAGGCATAGCTGCTCCTCCCCAACTCCCTCCCCTCAACCAGGCTCTTCCCAAGATTTGAAGCTTTTCCTTTTGCTGGTATTTCTCACATTCAGTGTTCACTCACCTTAGCTGGTGGTGGGGTAACAACGTCCCTCAGCACTATCAGCTCGCGGGGTGCTCTCCAGGTAAGTTACAAGGCAGATAGATACACCTGGAATCCTCTTACTGCTCAGTTAATAAGGTATAATACACACTCCTGGAAATCTCTTCCAAAATATATGTGTATTATCAATGCTAGCCTTTAGCAGGGAAGGAAAATTCTCACATTCATTTGAAATAAAATGAACTAATGATAAATACAATATTTAGAGTTCTGGATGTTTGTGTGCTTGTCATTAAATAGGCAAAGTTCAGCCTTGTAAATGTTTGTTTTAAGCTTAAAATGTCTGTGAGTTTGGCCCTCTGACAAGCAGAGAGTCAAGAGTAAATGTCACTGATTAGGAACAAATTAAGAAAAAATTATGCCAAAGGGCAGCTCCAGCAGACTTCACCTTAAGCTCCCCCTGCCAGAAATATCCAGAGAATGCCCTGAGCATGACCCAGAATCAGGACCTGAGAAGATTTCAAGATGGCCAAACAGATTTAAACAGAGTTAGTTGTCAGAAGGTGGGACCAAAACATACTCCTTGAACATCATCAATGGAGGTAAGGAGGAGTATAGACATAGACATATAGACATACGTGGACATATAGAGTGTAGACATATGTATGGAGTATAGATCCCTTAAGGGTGTCTCTTAGTATTCCCATATCCTGTCATTAAAGTCAGTGGAAAATTACAACAATCAAATTCAGGCAGGACTACTAATGACCTTGATCCTCCATGAATGAAGGTTCGGGGCTTCCTACCAGGTAAAGAAGCACAACCAGACAAGGACAAAGGAAATATGGAATGGGCAGGAGGAAAAGGTAGTTATAAATATCAGCTTCAACCACATGACCAGTTACAGAAAACAAGGACTGTAATTGTCATGAAGATTTCTTCCTTACTTTATGGTGTGTGTCTGCGTATAATGTCTTTGTTTTCTTTCCTCTGTTATCCCTTTACGTAACAGAGGATGTTTTGACTTTATATCATAATATTGTTAACTTTACAACATAGTATTTCAGTTAGGGGATTTGAAGGAGAGGAGTAAACATCACCCAAGGACTTTGCATCCTCTTCTAGGGAAGAGGTTAGTACATTTTCAATTGTATACAGGATAGTCATGTCAAGTTAGGTGGATTTGTTGCCTTGTTAATTGCCTTCATTTGGATAGTAAGTATGGTTTAAGGAGCTATGCATGGGAGCCAAGTTGACACAGAGTGGCTGTTGATGTTTAATTTTATATGTCAACTTGGCTAGTCCCAAATGCCCACATATTTGGTCAAACATTATTCTGAATCTTTTTGTGAAGACGTTTTTAAACAAAATTAATATTTAAATCAGTGGACTTTGAGTAAAACAGATTACCCTTCATAGCTTGAATGGCCTCAGCCAACCAAATAGAAAGACTGAGTGACTTGTCTCCAAAGGAAGACTGACTCCCTCAAGAGAGGGAATTCTGCCAAGAGACCACCTTTGGAATCTTCTCTAGAGTTCTTCCCTGGGTCTCTACCCTACTGGCCTATGCTGATGATTTTGAACTTGCCAAGTCTCTACAATCATATGAGCCAATTCCTTAAAATCCTTCTCTCTTTCCATCTCTCTCCAGCCCAAACCCTTGCTCTTCCCACCCCTCTCTTCATCCATACACGTTCTGTTGTTTCTGTTCCTCAGGGCACAGCAAGTCATTCTTGGAGGTGTCTCCTCAAATGGCTGCTCATTTTCTTGCATGACGTGAGGATGCGGCAGCCACAAGAGAGAAGGATGAGAGCCGTGCTTGCAGGGAGAGTGTTCTAATAAGTAGAAGCTGGTTCAGAGCATGGATCTTACTCACACACACACAATAGTAATAGAGCTTCACCTGTGGTTGAAGGACTTGCAGCAGGAAGGCTGAGTCCCAGTGTCCTGTGTCAAAGGAGTGCCAAAAAGACACGCTAAACCCAGACACTCAATGGCAAGACTGAAAGATAAGAAAAGGAAATGAAGTATAAATAGAAGGAGTCAAAACTACTCTTACTGCAGGCCCTGTAATTATTAATCCAGACTATTCAGAATAGTTAACATCATAGCTATTAGAATGATAATGGAGCTCAGGGGCACCTGGGTGGCTCACCCACTTCCTGTTCCTTGCTAAGCCGAAGCCTGCTTCTCCCTCTACCACTCCCCCTGCTTGTGCTCTCCCGCTCTCTCTCTGACAAATACATAAATAAAATCTTAAAAATATATATGTACTGCTTCTTTGACACCTTAATAAACTTTTTATTTTGAATAATTTTAGATGTAAAAAAACTTCCCATATTCTCTTCACCTAATTTTCCCTAATGTGAACATTTTATATAAACATAGTGTATTTGTCAAAACTGAGAAACTAATATTGGCACATCACTATTACCTGGACGCCAGGCTTTATTTGGATTTCACTAGTTTTTTTTTTGTCACTAGTGTCCTCTTTCTGTCCCAGGATCTAATCTAAAATACCACATCACATTTAGATGTCATGTCTCCTAGTTTCTTCTAATTTATAATAGCTTCTCAGTCTTGCTTTGATTTTCAGGACCTTGATAGTTTGAAAGAGTGCATCAGGTGTTCTGTGGACTACTCAATTGTTTGATGTTTTTCTCATGGTTAGACTGGGATTTGGTCTTGGGGGGAGAATACTACAGTGGTGAAGTGCCTTCCTCATCATATCATATCATATCAAATAACTTAACACAGATATCATTAATCTTGCCATGTGGTTAAGGAAATGCCTGCCAGACTTCTACCCAGTAAAGTCGCTATTTTTCTCTTTCCACATTCATTCTTTGGAGACATGTCACTAAATCTAGCGCATGCTCAGGGAGAAGGAATTAAGCTCCTAATCCTAGTGTATTAATTTTAAATTAAGAAGACATTTGAGAGGGGCGCCTGGGTGGCTCAGTGGGTTAAAGCCTCTGCCTTCGGCTCAGGTCATGATCTCAGGGTCCTGGGATGGAGCCCTGCTTCGGGCTCTCTGCTCAGCAGGGAGCCTGCTCCTCCCCTCCCCTGCCTGCTTCTCTGCCTACTTGTAATCTCTGTCTGTCAAATAAATAAATAAAGTCTTTAAAAAAAAAAGAAGACATCTGAGAGCAGTGGTGCTGCCCTATTCAATTTTAAAAATTGCTACAATAGTCATTGATTTCTTCTATAAATATTTCTTGAGCTCCTGCTATGTGGACTGCTAGCCCCTGATGTGGACACTGGATACAGCAAATTCCTACCCTTCTGGAGCAAACATCCTAGACAAATAACTGAATGTACAGTAGGTTAAAAAAACAAATAACAGACAAAAGCCTCCAGAATCCAAGGAACTAAGATATGGAACCAAAAGTGGAGGTGGAACATGGGCAAGACACAGTATCCAAAGGAGGAAGGGGAAGTAGGAGGAAGGGAGAAAGAGGAACAAGCCTGGAGATGTGGCCAATGCACATGGCGGCGCACAGTAGTACGTGGGGAAACCTGTCATACACTGGAACAGGCAAGCTGGACTTATTGGAAGGGGCTAAGCCAGCTGGAAGGAGTATGAGAGGCTATTATAAGCAATTCTGGACACATAATAAGCACTCTATAGATATTTAATAAATAAATAATTGAAGGAATAACAACATTAAGTAGGCACATTCACCCTTGCTTGCTTCATCATTAAAAACTCCTGTAAGGGGCGGCTGGGTGGCTCAGTGGGTTAAGCCCCTGCCTTTGGCTCAGGTCATGATCTCAGGGTCCTGGGATCAAGGCCCACATCTGGCTCTCTGCTCAGCTGAGAGTCTGCTTCCCCTCTCTGTGTCTGCCTGCCTCTCTGCCTACTTGTGACCTCTCTCTCTATCAAGTAAATAAATAAAATCTTTAAAAAAAAAAAAACAAAACACTCCAGTAAGACTTTCCAAGGGAATCAGGGAAGGGAGAATCCGACATTCTGGAGTGCAGCTGCTCCCCACAGCCCCAGCTCCTGCCCAGGGTTCCTTTCTTAGGTATGCCCAAGTCTACTCCCCTTTACTCCTTACCTTTCCACCCAGGCAGTAGTACTTTTGCCCTAATTCCACTGGGGGCCAATTGGGCAGAGTTGTTCTGAAACCGGTTCCAATGTTTACAGAGGCAGAGAACAAAGTGAAAGGAACTTCCCCCATGAGATATCAGGCAACCTGATTCCTGAGATGATAGCAATGTAGTCAGCCGGGGAACGCTGTGATAACAGGTAATATGGAGAAGTCTGGGACAGTAACTCACATCTGTGCCCATATTTACTTCATCTTCCAAGGTCTCTCTAGTGTTTCTGCTTCCTGAGTTTGGTGGAACAAAACACCACAAGTTTTTTTTGCTTTTATTTACCACTTCCCCTTTGTCCTGAGGGGAGAGCGCCAAAGGGAAGCCTTGAAAAATGGTGCCCACTCCTGTTCTGGTTTTCCCCATTCTTAAAGTGCTACCGAGAGACAGCATTTTCAACAGTGGCCTGCGTTAAAATGACAAAGCTGCGAAGAACTCTTGTTCTAGAGTCTAATTGCAAATTAGCTGTTGAGCAGATCTGAACACTTCTCAATAGCCAAAACCAGCATTCAGTTTCTGCCACTATCTTGCCACAGAACCTGAAAACCTCTCCTACATGGAAATAAGATAAGGATGTTCACCTTACCATTTTTATTCAACATAGTACTGGAAGTCCTAGCCACAGCAATCAGATAAGGAAAAGGAATAAAAGCATTGGAATTGTTAAGGAAGTAAAACTTTCACTACTTACAAGTGATCTGATACCATATACAGAAAATCCTAAAGACTCCACACACAAAAAAACTACTAGAATTGGGGTGCCTGGGTGGCTGGTGGCTCAATCAGTTAAGCATCTGCCTTCAGCTTAGGTAATGATCTCGGGGTCCTGGGATCGAGCCCCACATTAGGCTCCCTGCTCAGCAGAGAGTCTGTTTCTCCCTCTCCCTCTGCTCCTCCCCCTGCTCTTGTTCTGTCTCTCTTTCAAATAAATAAATAAAATCTTCTAAAAAAATTACTAGAACTGATAAATGAATTTGGTAAGGTTGTGGGATATAAAATCAATGTGCAGAAACCCCACTGCACTTTTATACACTAATCAGAAAGTATCAGAAAGAAATTAATAGGGGTGCCTGGGTGGCTCAGAGGGTTAAACCTCTGCCTTCAGCTCAGGTCATGATCTCAGGGTCCTGGAA